GACGAGATCACCGGCACTGAAAACGCCTGGGCTCAGCTGTACAACCCCAACCGTCTCACGAGCATCGCAAAGTCGATGCCTAGCATGATGAAGCATGATCTGCAGATTAATGCCCAGTACAAGCGGTGGATGCAGTCCGACATCAAGGACATCGAGGATCTCGCGCCTTGTTCGGGAGGCGTGATGAAGGAGAACCCGGCCAAGCCAATCGCCGTGTACAAAGATGATCAGGGCAAGGCCCATAAGTACAGTGCCATTTGCCCGCACATGAAGGCCGTGTTGAGTTGGAACGATACGGAGAAGAGCTGGGATTGCCCGGTCCACGGCAGTCGGTTCAGCTGCGACGGAGTGTGTATTGAGGGACCGTCCAAGGCCAACCTGACGCCCATGGATGAGTTTGCGAAACGGGAGCAACGGGCTCAAGAGGCCATGTAAACGATATCAGAATTTTCTTTTCTTCTTTTCTTTTCCATCAATGAGATGTATGTAATGGTTTTAAGTCGAGTACCATGGATTTGTATTAAAGATGTGCGTTGTCCCGGGATAGAATTAACCATGAACGGGTAAGGATACGAAAACGAAGTGCGACCAGGGATTAAGCTTAGATATTGTGGAACCCGCCGCCCCTTTCCTAATCGGGAGCACGCAACGAGATACGAAGCATCATTTTCCCCCTCTTAGACACACTGCCACGAGGATCAGTTCTCCAGCCATCGCTTACGCTGCATTTGAGGCAAAATGAGGTCCACTACTGCCTTAATTATGGATCGAGTCCACAGCTGGGGATTTCTGGTACAGCGACAGCTTTTAAGATAAAAGCAGGGCGCAATCCTCTGCCTTGTCTTCTTTCTCTCTTGCAATCTAGTCGCCATTGAATCTCTTATGCCAATACTTCCTTTGCTAATCAACCAGCACAATGGCTATGGATTTCACGTTCTATTACTACTCGCCGTCCACCGCAGCCGCGGGCATCTTCGTGGTCCAGTTCGGCCTCAGCACCCTTCTGCACTTCTACCAGCTGGCCCGGACTCGGTCATGGTTCATGATCCCTTTCTTCATCGGAGGCATCCGTATGTCAAGCATACCATCCGTTGCACATATCCACACAAGCTAACAGTACGGATCGACAGTCGAGACCATCGGATACGTGGGCCGCCTGCTGTCCGCCCTTCAAAGCCCCGATTTCACCAAAGGGCCCTACATCATCCAAAGCGCCCTGATCCTCATTGCGCCCGCCTTCCTCGCCGCGAGCATCTACATGACCCTCGGTCGGATCATCCGTATGGTCCACGCAGAGCAATACGCAGTCATCCGACTGAGCTGGATGACCAAGATCTTCGTGACGGGCGATGTGCTTTCCTTCTTGATGCAGGCTTCCGGTGCGTTTCCAGCCACAACCCTGATTCTGCGACAACTTGACTGATCCATGAACAGGCGCCGGGCTGATGGTCAGCAACTCCAACGACCCCTCCACCGGAGAACACATCATTATCGGCGGTCTCTTCGTCCAGATCATCTTCTTCGGCTTCTTCATCATCACGGCTATTATCTTCGAGTCGCGCATGCGGAAGAACCCGACCGGCACGGCCATGGAACTGTCCGGTGTGTGGCGCCGGCACATGGTCGCCCTCTATGTCTCAAGTTTTTTAATCTTCATTCGTTCCATCATCAGGGTGGTGGAGTACCTGGAAGGGTATGACGGGTATCTCATGAAACACGAGGCGTTCATCTATGTCTTCGACGCGCTCCTGATGTTCGGGGCGATGGTCGTGCTGCAGTACATCCATCCCAGCCAGATCAACTGCTTCCTCGGGATGGGGGACAAGTACTCGGAGAAGGCCTTCAAGACACGCAAGTTCGTGCCGCTTGCGACGGAGATGGAGGTGTCGTCTGATGTTTGAGGGGGTGTGTTCCGCGATGAACATTGTGGATGAGGTCTTTACGAAGCGATGATTGTTTCGCATGTTTGTCTGCCACCGATGCGTATGTCTGTATATACTATTAGTTTGCGCTGCGTTTTTCAATCTCCTCTGCAACCAACTTGATCAATCTCAACCTATCATTATCATCTAGTCGGGAATAACCTCATGCCAACTTTGCTATACTCAGCCGTGCGGCTCGCATCACCATCACCCTGCCATCGGTTTCCTGCTTCTCGGCATGCATGCATTGCCGCAGTGATTGACGTGCTGCTATCCGCATTTAGGCTGAAACTACCGTATCGTCGCTCGTCATAATGCGAATCAACCAATCCACTCGTATCGGGCATTACCCTCCTTCTGCGACTGGCTGATAAGCCAAAGAAGTTTCTCTTGATTGCATCTGCAGCACCCCGCAGATGCGCGATACTACCAGTACCCAATGATGTGTGTGGTTTCGCACAAGCAAATGCCGTCACACCGGGATCGAAGAAGTACATATCCCCAAGCCAGTCCCCCTCCCTTCCTCCCCAAACTTCCCAACCTTGATTACCAGCACAATGCCAGAAACTAACCCGCGGGACATCCTCCCGAACCTTCCCTGCGCCCTCCCAGCAACAGGCATCCCAGCAAACACAGACATCCGCAAGACTGCGGGCCTATTCTCCGACCTCTTCCGCACCGACCTCACGCCCACTCTTTTCACTCAAGACGCAGTATGGCGAGACACCTTCGCCCTGACCGGTACCTTACGAACCTTCTACTCCGCGCCCACCATCTGCGACGTCTCCAACCGTCTACGCATCAGCCGAGAAGCCGATACCTTCTGTGTCGACATCGACGCCGCGAAGCCCGTCCGCCTGGGTGCCGAATGCGGCTGGATCGATGTACCCTTCGTCTTTCGGACCAGATCGCGCCCAGCCACCAAATGCTCCGGGGTGGTATCGCTGGTCCGGACCGCCGCGGAAGAGGAGTATCGGGTGTGGATGCTGTGCACGATGCTTGAGGGATTGCTCGGGTGGGGGGAGGTGGATTCTCTGGGTCCGGGGGTGCAGAACATCTATGAGGTCGAGAAGGTGGACGTTGATTGTGTGGTTGTCGGGGCGGGACACTCCGGGCTAGGGACGGCGGGCCGGTTGAAGGCTTTGGGGGTTTCGTGTGTGGTGGTTGAGAGAAACGCACGGGTCGGGGATAATTGGCGGGTGAGGTATGATTCGTTGAGGTGTAGGTTTTCCCACTAAGCATCCAGTGCTCTCTGGAGGGCTGGGGTTTGGCGACGGAGCTGAACTCCAAGGCACCAACTAGTACACACCATTCGCAATTGGTCTCATCTCCCCTTTGAGCGTACCTTTCCCCCTGCGTGTGGGGAGTGGTTGTCCAAGGATCAGCTGGCGGATGGGCTGGAGTCTTGGTCGCGGCGGTTTAAAATTGTTCGTCGCCCCCGCCGCTTTTGAGATGAGTATAGGGGAAACTACTGATGGGATATAGAACTTCTGGACGGCCACCGAGCTGGAATCCGGAAGCTGGGATGAGATGAAGAGGAAGTGGACGCTGAGACTTCGACAGCATGGAGGTGATCAGCGGCCGAGTCGTCGTCTGTCGGTCACTTGCTCTCATGTCGTGCTTGCCACGGGCGGACCCGCGTTGACACCTCGCCAGCCTCGATTGTCGGGCGAGGTTTGTCTGCTTGTTCTCGTCATCCTATCTTTCTGCTGATGAACGTTGATAGAAAATGTTCAAAGGTGAGTTCCTGCACTCGGCGAATTACAGGAATGGAAAGAAATGGAAAGGTAAACGGGGCGTGGTGATTGGCTCGGCCAATACAGGTAAGCCACAGTGCTCAACTTCAATACGTCTATTGAGACTTCCCCTTGCGGTTGAATGCGAATGAAACCTAGGCCATGATATCGCAAAGGATATGGTCGCATCTGGGGCTTCGTGTGTCACTATGGTGCAGCGTAGTACAACTTGTGAGTTGCTCTACACTTTCTTTGCCAATAACATGAACCTTTGGCTCATGAGCTGATAGCACCAGACGTTCTGCCTCGGGAATACCTGCAGCGAGCATGGGGGGGTAGGCTGCGTCCGCTGCCGTCTTTATAAGTTTTGTCCGAGAGTCTTGCTCTGATGGCACGCCAGGCATGTTCAACGATGTCACGCCTACGGAAGTCTCCGACCGCGAGATGAACCTCGTCCCGACTGCTGTAGCGCGGCTGATGACCATGGCAGCCGTGCATCCCCAGGCCGCCGCCGAGCCAGAGCGGTTCCAGGCTCTCCTCCGCGCTGGGTTCCGAGTGGAAGTGTTTGGAGATCTGATCTATCAGTTGAACCAGCGTCTTGGTGGGCATTCAATGGATACAGGGTCATCGGCAATGATCGCCAGGGGCGAGGTGGGGATTATATGAAAGCTAGAAACACAAGCGAGTCAAGTGCGCTGACTGGGTTTCGAATAGATCAAAGTCAAATCCGATAGTCCGTTAGCGTCATACACAGAAGAGGGCCTCCTTTTTAGTGACGGGAGCGTCCTTCCGGCAGATGTTGTGATCTTCGCGACGGGGTTCACAGGGAACCTTCGTGATTCGGTCCGCACGTTCTTCGGCGAAGACATCTACAATCGCGTGGAGGACTACTGGGGTATTGATCCGGAGGGTGAGTTGAAGGGTGTTTATGTCCCAACTGGCCGTAAGTGTAATCTGTTCTGCTTCTTTGCATGATACGTTATGAGGAGTCTTGAGAGTTGACGTGAAATTCATGCCAGATCCTGGTCTATGGTATATGGGAGGAGGAATGGGCCAAGCTAGGTTCTATTCGAGATTTGTGGCCTTGCAGATCCGTGCCAGCCTCGATGGGACTCCACTGCCTGTGTACCAAGGAATACACCTAAAGGAGAACTCGGCATAGTCGGCGAAATTGAATCTCTCATGATCCACTGCGAGACCCCTAGGATAGATCCTAATTGCAGCCGCTCGAGAACATAGACTGAATGAAATCCCGGCTGCCCTAGCATTGTCAGATGTAGACATGTTCTAGTTGCACTCAAATGGGACTTGAATCTCATGTGAATTGCCATCATCGCGCCTTTTAAAAGGCTGGCAGCGGTCCTGAGATCATGACCTGTCCCGCCTTCCTCCATTCAAGTTTCTCAGCCAGCATATCCCAGCTCAGTGGACCGTCAAAACGTCCTATACCTTTCAGACGAGCCGCCACAGACGCAACTAACTGTTCGAACTGGTCTTTGATCTCTTTTATTTGTTGTAGATAGTTCGACTCATGGAAGGAGTCAGCGGATTCATTATCATTGGTATCGAAGTCGTCGTCACCCTCGTCGCTAAAGTCATCATCGACGTCAAGACTATGTATGCGGGTCTTGCGGTCCACAGCTGGATGATTGCGACTGTATGTATTTCTCAAAGTCCTCCCGAATTGAGACTGGTCGCTTCCGTAGCGCGTGGCCTGAACCTCTGAAAAACGGACACAAAGGTCGAGGATAGAGACAATGGCTTGGTGGATCATTTCAAGATTGTCCGATAGCAGGCATTGTTCTTTAAGTGACATCATAAATTTATAGTGGGCCTCGACCATACCATCAATGTCACTGGCGGCAGATAAGTCCTTGCGTAACGACGCGGTCGCTGCTGAAATGACGAAGTCTGTCATGTGACTGTAGATGGCGTTGAGAAACCAGAGCATGTTGTGTCGCAGCGCATAGCTTAGCGTATTGTTTCTCGTATCTTGTAACTTGTCATGGATATTGCTATGCTGTAAGCGCTGTTTCACAAGTGCATGCTTCGCTCTGCGAATTTGCATCAGAAATCTGGAAATTCGCTGGTAATCATAGATCGCGGATTTCGGGATTATGTTTGCAACAGGCCACGGTAGAATATAATCAAATGAAATTGCATTAAGCATGTTCATCGATCGGCTGCTGCTCTTCTCGCTGTTTAGTCCATCCGTCGAGGATCGTACAATGAGTCGTGACGGGTCAATAAAGGGCATCGAACCAAGAATACTCTGTGCCAGTTCTGTAAGGAGATATCGATCGCTCCATGCCGCTTTCCCTCTATCGATCAGGTCGAATATTTTACTGTCGATTATGCCAGACATGCTCATGTCTCGGCAGAGGTAGATGTACTCCAGAGCCTGAAGCGATTCCCACAATCCACACTGTTTGTCAAACTTGCGTCTCAGTAACGCAGATGTAGCATTGTAGTTTTCCTCCACCATCCTTTGGAGGGCAGACTCGAGCAAAACAGAAAAAGGAAGGTAAGATGAAGGGGATTCTGGAGGGCACACGTCTTCTATCGTCACGGATGTTTTTCTGCGGTCCTCATCACCCGGACTCATATTCAAGTGCCGCAAGAATACCATGCTCTTGCCGGCAATGAGAACTTTCTGCATGATGGGTTGGATGAATTGGGGCACAGAGGAGATGTTCGAAAGCGCATCGAGGGTATACCAGTCATGCCAGAGCGTTCGCAGGTCACCATTCTTCTGCTGGTGGTGAACGAAAAACCCGTGATTGGCTGCCTCTTCTAGTTTGCCGTTTTCTAGCCAGAGACGAATAGGTCGGGCATATGTTTCCAGACATGAAAAGAACAGATCAGCAAGGACCGCGAACCCATCATCGTCACCTGTCGCTTGAGTCAAGCATACTACATCGTACAGACGATTGAGACATTGAACGGAAGCATTCACTGACGTTGTCTCAAGCTTCGAGACTAGGTCTGACAGTAACAGGAGAAGCCTAGTCTCACGGCACACATCTTCAGAGAGCTGCAGCAGACTGACAGAGGCGGTTGACGTTGGAGAAAGGTATTGGTGTTGTGCTTTTGAAAGAAACATGTCATAATTACTCAGACAGCCTTCCAGCCCCCGCTGGAAGGTTTGCATAGAAGGAATAGTTTGTGGCATCCTGACGAACAGTCTGAGAATGTCGACTTGAGTTCCGACTGAACTCAGGGATCGTAGAACCGAGGAGAAAGTTTCTCTCGACAAATGCGCAATATTGTAGTTCTGATCTACTTCAACATTGCCATTAAATCGTCGAAACATAGACGTAGGCAGGCCTTGTAGCATGAAGATTGTCTCCCGAATAACCTCAAGTTCCGTCAAGGCGCAAGAAGATATTACTTCGTGATCCCCACCAAACTGGCTATTTCTTGTCCAGAATTGTGCCTGCTTTATCGACTTTACCAGTTCTTCGTCATCACCAGATGTCAATGCAGCATCTGGAATCACATAATCTTTTTCTGGAGCTATAGAAATCTGGGGTGGCCGCGAGCGGTGGGTGTCAGTTGACAGGGAAACAGATGCGATCTCCTCATCGGAAGAATCGGCTCCGTAGTCTACAGCTTCCCAGATATCCTCTTCGCAAAATGCTGACCCGGCTGCATCGAAGTCAGACCAAGTGAGCGGTGCGGCCTCCTCTTGGAGTTTCGGCTTTGGGATTCGATCCAGTCGTGAATACTGAGCCGGACGATCTGCAAGTTCCAGCAGCAGAGAAAGAAATTCCGGGGCCCAGGAGCTACGGTGCTCATTGAGCTCTAGCAACCTGGAGCGAAGTGCATCTGCAAGCTCGTCTTTGTTGAAGACTTGGAATTTCTCCTGCAGTCCATCCAGGTGGTTGGCAACCGCAAACTGATCTGTACGGCCATGAGCACCAGCTTTGACTGTGTCCTCGGCACGACGCTTGAGGGCAGCAAAGCGTGGTATGTCCTAAACAAGACATGTTAGCACCCACCCTTGAAGTAAAAGTGGGCTTGAACCAAATGCCTTTGCGTCAGCCTTTGCGACGGCCTCAATTAGCTTTTCTAATAGAGCGCTCACGTTGGCCGTAGCAGCCATGGCGGGCACAACATAGGTGAGGCAGTCTGAGCACCTTATCTCTGAATATCAGCACAGCCACTAAGGAAAAGACGAAAAGAAGCGCTCTCCATCGTCCTGTGGTTTCATCAAGGCCGTTGAGTTGGTTACGCGGCGCTGATGAAGTGGTGCAGGTCGGCGACCGAGCGGCAGAGATGATTGATCGGGATAGATCCACGCTAGGCCTGTTAAGGAATAGCGGCTAGGTGTTTCGGAAACTGGAACGAGAGACCGTCTGGAAGAGAGAGTCTCAGTCTCGCGGCGGGAGGCGGCGATAAGTTGATTAAGTAGCGACAAGTCTCCCCTGCGGCCTCAATTCTCCCCTGTTGCTCACTTTCCCCTCCCATTACACCTTTCGTGGGGATTTTGCAGACCGGCACAATGGCTGTCGCAAGACCCATCCGGATGCTGGCTGCATCATGTATCATCCTTGTCCTCTTCCTCATCTTCCAAATGAACAAAACACCCGCCTTGATCAGTAAGGGGTCGTCGTCGTCATCATCAACACCATATGAGGGCATCACCTCCGATCCTCTCAAAGATCGTACGTCTATGCAGCTCCAACGACTTCACTCCTCTGGGCTTATCTATCTCCTACTAACATACTCTTTTTTCCTTCTTCAACAGCAACTGGCGAGCCCGAGGGTAAATTGTGGCGTGTGACCGACGGCGACTATAGTCCCGGCAACTCGAAATCTCCCCGTACCAACGCGGCCCTCATCTCTCTTGTCCGAAATGAAGAACTCCACGAATTGATCCCGACCATTCGCGATCTTGAGCGCACCTGGAATAGCAAATTCAATTACCCCTGGATCTTCTTCAATGACCAGCCCTTCACGGAAGAATTTAAGAAGCTGACGCAGGCGGAAACGAAGGCAAAATGCTACTACGGTATGTCCAGCTGATCGACCTAGGCAACTATACCACAAGTCTCTGACGTATACATGAAGAGCAAGTGCCGAAGGAACACTGGGAGGTCCCTGAGTGGATCGATATGGACCTATTCCGCGAGTCCGCCGAATTGTTGAAGGAGAAGGGTATTCAGTACAGTGACAAGATCTCGTATCACCAGATGTGCCGCTGGAACAGCGGCTTGTTCTACCAACACCCCGCCCTCCAGAAGTACCGGTACTACTGGCGTGTGGAACCTAAGGTCAAGTTCTTCTGCGATGTTGACTACGATGTCTTCCGCTACATGGAGGATCGGAACCTCACCTACGGCTTCACGATCAACCTTTTCGATGCTCCCGAGAGTATTCCCTCACTCTGGCCCGAGACCAAGAAGTTCCTCGCTGCGAACCCGACCTACCTGAACAAGAACAATATGATGAACTGGCTCACCGATGATCAACTCCGACCCGAGCACACGGAGGCTGCCAATGGATACTCGACCTGCCACTTCTGGTCCAACTTCGAAATTGGTGATATGGAGTTCTTCAGAGGCGAGCAGTACTCTGCCTATTTTGAGCACCTGGACCGGGCGGGCGGCTTCTACTACGAGCGCTGGGGTGATGCTCCGGTGCATTCTATCGGCCTGGGTCTCTTCGCCGATAAGAATAAGGTTCATTGGTGAGTCGATGTCCTCGCATTGTGCCCACAGCATCCGTGATCTATCCTCTAACTCACTTTTCTTAGGTTCCGAGACATCGGTTACAACCACATCCCCTATTACAACTGCCCCACCTCCCCCAAGTGTTCCGGCTGCACTCCGGCCAAGTTCTACGCCGGTGAGCCCTGGCTGGCCAAGGAAGATTGCCGACCCAGCTATTTCAAGCATGTCGGAACCCACTAAAAGATACGGCGCGACATGATATGACTTCGTTTACACTTAATTATCTGGTGCAGACGGAAGGTGCTCCTCTATCTCAATATATACGAACTTCGCGCATGAGGTGCAATGAGATAAGAGACAGGCATCTCTGATCCTGCCACATATAACACTTCGTTTACGCACTCAATCAAGGGTGTCTGTTCTCTGCACCAAGTATTCTATGCCGTTCGAGCATTGCGGTCAATTATATGTACAGGATTTTAGTGCGCACGGCTGCCACAGCTTACATGTTCTACCACCATTACATACCCAGTCTTGTTGACGAAGAAATTGCTTAAAATTCATCCTGAACTCTGGGGGGCGTTATCCAGGGATTTTTTTCTCTTCAATCCTGCTTCTCGGGTTTCGTTGTTTCCGGTGTGTCATGCTTATCTCTAGGCATGTCCGGACTGGCATTCACTGTACCTATAACATTTTTTCTCAATGTGTCATGCCATTGATGATGCTCTGGAAGCGGAAGCCCTCAAATTGTATGACCTTCCTGGTCGCTACGCTTGTGCCCTCTGGTAGAAGTCGACCATGAAATCAATGGCTCAATGACTTGCAGGCTTACCGGGTCCCTATCCACGAAGGCCCCCAATCGCATTGTATAGATCAATAACAGTAGAACAAGAACATCATCTTCGATTTTCCACACTTTAACCCCCTCAATAATACAGAGTAACAAGCATATGCTCACATGATTTAAAAGCAGCACTGGTATAGAAAAAGCACGCGTGTACTCTCCAATCCACCCCCTTTCCCCACGACAGCCAGGAAGCCGGAACGCGGCCATGTGAGGTCCGTTTTCTTTCCTTCTTTTATAGAGAAGATACACACACACACACCACCGGGACATTTCAGCAACTTCATTCCAACTGCACTTCTAGAGTATGTATACAGCGTTCCTTATCTTTAACTGACTGACAACATAAAAAAGATAAAACGACGAGACGAGACGGGTGAACTCCGGACACAGAGGGTTCAGGTTCTGCGTCTACTGCTCCTCGGGGTAGAGCTCCTCACGGAGAGGAACACCCAGCTCCAGGCGGAGCGACTCAAGAGCCTCGAGGTATTGCTTGTACTGTTCCTTGGTCTCGGCCTTGGCCTTGATGCCTATTTTTGACGGCCAAACAGAAGGGATTAGTGTCTTCTCGAGTAATGTGCGGACGGTAGATATGAGATCAATTGGGAGAAAAGTGGAGGACAGGAGAGGAGGTTATCGCACCCTCGAAGACACGGACGGCAGTGGGGAAATCATTGACACGACGGGCAGCCTTGAGAGCGGCGGTGAGGACCTCAACGGAGGGGACGAGATCGTAGGCGAAGCAGTTGTTCAGGTTACGCTGCGTTTGAAAGAATCGATTTTGTTAGTCCGGGCTGATATAGGTTCGAGCGAGAAGCGCCCAGCAATCCGCCCAATGGCAGCTGGGCTGATTATCAAGGCTGGGGATGCGAGTGGATGACGCGAGCAGGGGAGGGCATCGGCTTACCTGGAGCTCGAAGACATCCTGAACACCGTCAAATTCCTTCTCGAATCTATCAACAGGGTGGGTTAGAGGTGAGGTCGTTGACGGGTTTGAAGTAGAGAGCGAGGTAATGCCCATAATCAAGGCATCAGAAGGGGCCGCCGGGCTTCTCGGGTTCGGCTGCCCGTTGCGACCGAGTCCGGACCAACGGGCTTGCATCTGTCTCCAATGGCTCGGCAAGTTATTATTGCATACCTGTCAGAGAACTCCTCGAAGGTCTCGTCCTCGTGGTGGCCAGAGTAGCGCTGAGCGGAGGTGCTGAAGCTGGGGCGGCTGATAGCCTGAGCGATGGGGAACTGCACGCGGGCCCGGGGCAATTGAGCGGCTCTGATGAAGCCGGAGGGACGGACGGCGCGGGTTGCGACACGGAAGACGGAGATTGGCGACATGATGAGAAGAAGGTGGTGGTGGAGGTGGGCGAATTGGGGGTGGGTGAGGGGAGAGCAAGACGGGCGAGGTGTTGACGAAGTCGAAGTCAGAGGTTAAGCCGGGCTGCACTAGGATTTTGCGGGTGGTGTGAGGTTGTTGGTGCCTCAGGCATTCAGAGTATCCGCCCTGCAGTGGTCGTCCGTCATTGATAATCGCCGGCTTTTCCTTTGCGGCTCCCGCCCAACCGAACTTGGCTGATGCCTCAGGCCACTACTACGGGTATGCTGTCACTTGCCCAGAGCCCGAGGTCTGCTTTCTATCTGCCAGCTGTGATTGGAGCATAGGCGGTACGCAGCTTATAGCTCTCAATTGGCTCTCATTATTTGGCCCAGATCCCGTGGGCGGCATCGAGATCCGCACCCTTGCCCCGGAGATTACCAGTACCACCTCAGGCAGAAATTGTGCAGACCTGATCTGAGACTGGCAACAACCGGTGGTGACTATGGCTGCGGCCAGTCCAGTTCAGTCCAGTTTCCACGTCCTTTCCATGGAATCCCCAACCTGCCGCCGCTGGGAGACTGACAATTATGATCGACAGTCGGTCATCTCAATTTCCAGTCCAGCTCTCAGTCAGTTATTGGTTCTCCGAATCCTCGCCCTTCAAAACGGTTTCTTTCTAACATATATCCACCGGGATGTTTTCCATCAGCTGACTTTTCAAAAAATAATCTGTCAAAGTACCCCGCGCAGCAACTTGTTCGAGAAGCAAACCGTAGAAATTAGATCGGGGGTCGGAAATATTCCCCACGGATCTCGTTGACTAGTGTTTGGACCCTGGCACTGACCAGCAACATGTTTCATGAGTAAACAGTGAGTGATAAGTTACCAGGTCGCTGAGTTCTGAATCAGAGGTATACAGTGACCCAGACCCCTTGGCATAACCCTGGCGAACTTGCATGGAGATTATGTTTCAAGAGGTTACCGGGATCTCCAGGTTCGGAATTCGTATCCATTGAGATATTGGCAATGTTAGGATAGTACTCAGTAATCTAATCATGATCTCTCAGGGACTATAGTAGGGACTACACCAATTCGATGGTCACCAACTGGCACTGGTCAGCACAGCATGTGAAGATGGCCCGTGGTTAGTGGCCGCTTCCCTACTTGTAGTTATGACGACCAATTACAGATTGTCAATTAGGTAGATAACTTTGGTGACCTTGACGTGACATACAACCGGCGGAAGCGACTCTCAAAAGTTATCCTCATGAGTTTTCCACCCTCCTCTAGATATCGAAGTCATCTCTTGCTACGAGGCTTGCCAGCCGCAAACAGCGCAACAAGGGCACCAAAATCAGGACCAGCTGGCGAACCGGGAACCCGGAAGGCACATGATCGTCGGGCCCTAAGCGGACGCCCCCTTTTTTTTTTCCCAGTGGCCGAGGTTGCGCTAGTCTCTTTTCAGCCGCAGCGGACGCGCCGGAGTCCAAAAATGAAGACACGCTGAAGGATGGATGGATTCTCCTTGCGAACAGGCAGTCGAAAGAGATACCAAGTCCTCCTGCTGCTCCACCTTGTCCGTTCCCTCTTCATTTCTCTTCTTCCATATTCTTCTTCCTTTACTCTCCCTCTTCCTTATCCTTTGAATCGCTGCGTTTGCTTTTAACTCCCCCCTCCTCTTATTCTCCCTTTTTCTTACCCCATTCTCTGCTCGCACCCCTCCAACCGGCCTGTCAGCAGTTTTGGGAAGAGGAAGAAGAAGAAGCAGAAATCTGAGGTCCTTCACACTCCGGGACCTTCAGTCAATCCGTCCTCCTCAAGTCCTCCTCAAGTGATTAGGATCTTGGTCAATTGCTCACCATGGCCGCCGAACTTCTCCAGAGCCTGCCCAGGCCAACCATTGATCGGCCATTTGGCATCCACCTATGGCCTATCTTCGACAAGGCCTTCGAGCTTGTTGTGGGATATCCCGCCAGCGAGTTCCGCTTCGTTGAGGGCGTCACACCCATGTCTACATTCAAGGAGACTGCTGTGATGCTTGTGGCTTACTATGTTATCATTTTTGGTGGTCGCGCGTTCATGAAGGACCGTCCTGCTTTCAAGCTCAACACACTGTTCATGATCCACAACTTCTACCTGACCGCGATCAGCGCAACGCTCTTGGCCTTGTTTATCGAACAACTCCTTCCTACCCTCTGGAGACACGGCGTTTTCTACACTATCTGCACGCACGAGGGTGGACTTACACAGCCTCTGGTCGTTCTGTACTACGTGAGTCTCGCAACCGTTTCACATCCATCCGATGACCGAAACTAACCCGCTTGTTTGCGCTTAGCTCAACTACCTGACCAAGTACCTTGAGCTCATCGACACTGTCTTCCTCTTCCTCAAGAAGAAGCCGTTGACCTTCCTTCACACCTACCACCACGGTGCCACCGCTCTTCTCTGCTACACCCAGCTCATTGGCTTGACCGCTGTCCAGTGGGTGGTCATTGACATCAATCTCTTGGTTCACGTTGTTATGTACTGGTACTACTTCCAGAGCGCTCGTGGTATCCGTATCTGGTGGAAGGAGTGGATTACCCGCCTCCAGATCATCCAGTTCGTCATCGATCTTGGTAAGTCGTTGTCTCGTGACCGATTTCCGGAAACTCAACTGACCGTTATTTAGGATTTATCTACTTCGCCTCCTACACCTATTTCTCCTCGACCTACTTCCCCTGGGCTCCCAACATGGGCAAGTGCGCCGGAGAGGAATTCGCTGCTTTCTCCGGAATCGCTGTCATCACTTCCTACCTGTTCTTGTTCATCTCTTTCTACGTCGCTACCTACAACAAGGCTGCCAAGACTGGCCGTCCTCGTCGTAACACCGGCAGACAGGCTGTTATTGACATGGCTAAATTCGAGGTCTCTGCTCCTTCCACTCCCAACGGACAGGCCAAGTCGAACGGTGCCGCTGTGTCCACCGGACGCTCCAACGGCCCTGTTACCCGCTCCCGCAAGGCCTAGGTGCACGAGTGGTGAGACGGTCTTAGGGGCACATCTCTTCACTTCTTCGATGACCCGCTTAGCAAATCGGCTTCGAAGCGCGGATTCGTTCTCCCTTCGCTTTCACAGTCAATCTTCGCGCATCGCCATATTTCGGCCGAGCATGAGCGAGCCAACAACCAACCATTTCTGAAGCCGGGTTCCACACTCGGTCGCCAACACTTACAACTATTTAATGAATGACCTTGATGATAATGGTCGTCTTTGCTTTTCAACCAGCTTATGCATGTGGCCTTGCCGCTTTGCAGAGGTGGTATCGAGCTAATTCAGAGATATGTTCGCTTGGGGAAAGGCTTTCTACCCTTTTTCTTCTTCTTGGAATCAGCCGAGCAAAGACCATGACTTGGCTATTTCAGCTTGTATTCTACATGCTTTGCTTCGTCACGTCGCCTTTGTTCCGCTGGCTGCGGAGTCCCGACATATGCCTTTTTTTGAATCGTCTATAAACGGGAGGTCAACATAAATGTAATCATGGTTATGTGTTTTTCTTGTCATTGCTCCTTACCTGTATATAATTGAATACCTTTCGGACTTCACTAATTTTGAAATGTGCAATTGGTTTTCATAAACTTTTGTTCTGTTTGGCTTGCTGATTTGGGGCTTTGGGGAATCCAAAATATATACCTGTCGAGGTTTGAAACGTGAGGAGTATCAGCATGGAAGCTGTGGTTACTGGTACTATCCAGATGAACTGTCTGATACAGATAATCTTCTGGGGTTGAACGAAAATTCGCAACGAGTCTCGGCGTCAGCCCGAGACAAGATACCTTTTGGGATCCACAATAGGCAACATCCGTCCGCTTTGCTGCCTGCCTTGTGCTACAGTGCACCTGGGTTTTCGAGTTGCTGCTGTTGATTGCTTTTGTAGTCACTATCGACATGTGCGCAAGCATTCGAGTTACTCCGAGCCGGGGAACCACAATTGACTCAGAAGGTGAGGCAGACAATGAAAAGACCGAAAGTCTCTAGGCTCACACTACGATGAAGACGGCTCCGGGCATTTTGAGCCTGGAAATAAGTACTTGCTTTGCAGTGATCGACAGATGAGCCTGTCGTGGGTTTGGTCATGCTTCAGATCCGAATCTAGCGAAGACTCTCAGAGACGAGGTCTTTTCGGAGACCATGCACGTTGTTTTACTGTGCACGGTACAACCGCCATGGCCGTGCGCTACCGTGCGCTACTAGTATCATCGAAGACGATACCATGGTTTGTGGAATATCCATGTCTTACTCCGGTTCCTCTCCCGCTATGAACAATGATCGCCCGCGCTGCCTATAGTCCATGCAGCGTGATGACGATCAGGGTAAAATCGTCACTCAGCATATGTTCCGAATACTCAGCTGCAATCTATGCTTTCATGCCTAGCTATTGTTGACATACGATGAGTTCCCAGCGAGTTTCAGGGAATTTAGGGAATTATCTACCGATAAGCATTGTGGCGTACGCGTCCTACCCGGTGGATTCATCTCGACTATGGCGCAATGAGTTCGATAAAGCCGATGTTTATGGATTCATCCGAAGAGTCCTGACCAGCTTCCTCCCCAATGTCATCATAGCTGGTCGATCTACGAAGAACAAAGATTCCCGAGATCACCAAGTTCAGTGTTCTGTAGCGTGCTCTAACCAAGATTGTTGTTGAATCATGAACTCCGATTCCTCTTCGGCATTTACAGCGACATCCCAGTCGCAGATTTAAGCATCTCGAAAGTGCTTCAGAAAGACATAAAAGGGCACCTCAATCCTTAAGTTGATTCTTTATCAAAATACAGAAGCACCAGCTCAATCACTACTTCGACTCGTCGTCCCATATACATCTTGCAACTCCAGCACCGCCTAAGGCACATCAGTCACAATGCGCTTTCTGTCTTGCGTCTCTGCTGCCCTGGTGGCCATCTTCGCGTTTACCACCTATGCGGTCCCCATCAACGGTGGTGTCAACTGCACTCAACTCGAACAGCAGATCGCCACTCTACAGCAGGGGGTGAGCACGGCCAACGGTACCAACCCGGAAGGAGTCCAAGCTACTCAGCAGCTTCTGTACGGTGCGAGGCTCGTGCAGGCCACCGAGTGCACCAACTCTTCGCCGGTCAAGCGATTCTTCCCTGTGAGTTATCCGGTTCTTCTGTGATGTTTGATGGTCTACTAACGACGATATGTAGCCTGTAAGTAACGCGGAACTTGAAAGTGAGACGTGGTGATGCATGCTGACCCAAGGTGCTACTCGAAGCCTACTGGTCCGGTGAGTTGTTCCTACGATGTCTGCCATCCAGACGGGGAATACTAACTTTGGCAGATTGTGAGTCAGGCTCTTGATATAGCTATCTACTGACGTTTTGAAACACTGGAAACCCATGTTTAATCAACTTACAGAATGTGAGTGCTTTTCTGAGTCAGTCTATTTCATAGCGATTCGACCCAATGCTAAGCCTATATGAACACAAAAGGGAACATCCTCACTACCTCCGATCCCCGGATTTAACGGCACGGTTCCACTTCATTAATTGATGGTAATTGTTGCCTCTCCGGACATTCAAGACTCTTGCTCACGGGACTTCAAAGTCGGTAAGCTGAAGCATCACCATTCTAGAAGCCCTTACTACTGGGACTTCTGCCTCAGATCCGTGGTGCTGGTGAGTGCTTGTCCCATCTGGAATGATATACTCAGTCAATAACATGATAGTCAGATTTGTTGAAGATCCCCGATTGACACCCTTCCCAAGGCCGGAGATCTCGTTGAGGAGGAAAGCTCCGACAACGGGTGGATTAGATGTGAAGTGGAGCGGCATGGCCTTAGTATAGGTTTTTTTCCCTTTCGAGGTTTTCCTGTACTGTGAATGCGAATGCAGAGGCTTGCATTGGTTATGTTTTGTCGAGAATATGAATTATATATAAAGTGCGTATCTTGACTGTCCCTTGTTGTACCCTTATATCATCGACTTAGGACTGCAGGGACTAGAGGCTTGACTGTGTAGTGTCTCTGTGAAGGAAGTTCTAATCCCAGCACCACAGAAGAACAGACATCCATTATGCAATTGCAGCCCAGGAGATGTAGTACAGGTCAGGAGTTGAACTTCCTCTACCGGCGCGATCACTATCACTATGTGCCTATCGCCAACAATCAACTTGAATACCAGAAGACTGTGCAGCATCCAAGCCTAGATCATGACAAAACAGCATATAGCATATAATTGCTTGCGCTATTTCAGTGCACATGCCTCGACCTCGACGCAACCCAGCGGACGGACTGCTCGAGCTCCCCATCTTCTGGGCCCGTCCGATCTCATGTCCCGGCACTTCTGTGCCTCCCAGACGGAAGATCCCCGTGTCGAACATCCCTCGTGCCGTGCATCCCCGGAATGATGCATTACGTAGTCATGGCATGCTGTCGCGGGATGGGAGTAGGCTACTCGTCTAGTGTATCAGTCTTTCACCGTGCGCTGGTAGTTGAAGATGCGTACGTGCGACGGCGATGGGGAAGCGGTAGTTCTACGTATGGGATTGTTGGCCGTGGTTGTAGACTTGAGACGGGACGGTCGCGGACCTTCCCGCCTGCTAGCTTGGTGGAAGTGCCATACCAGTGGTATTCAAGAAGGCATTGTCCTGGTGCTGTGGCACTAGGTCTCTGGTATCATTTTGAAGAAGCTTAGCATATGTCTGACCGTAGATACTTTGTCGTTTCCAGTCTTCCTGCAATATGCTGTCTCTATTCTCTCGTGCTATGCTTCATCCACGAATCATGGACAGTCTAGAGAGCTGCTGCAATGAGCATCACGGATCCAAAAAGAAGCCGACCTCAAAGAATGATTTATTGACTCAGGAAGGAAATCCGCGAGAGACAAGAGGCTGGATGGGAAAAATGGCAAGAGAGAACGGAACGAAGGAAAAGCCCAGCAGTCGTAGGAAAGCGAAAGTAGGGATTTATATACAATATACTCCGTATCCTTCGGCAGATGCACCAGCAGCACGAGCCCGAAGAAGATCAGGTTCCCACGCCCATGCACAGCAACCAAGCTTTATTTCGCAGAACTACGAGTAGTCCCATTGAACCCACTTCTCCCAACAAACCATACCATTCAGTATATCCCACCACCTTCAATGGGGCACCAATAAAAGTTGAAACACCGGTCATCTCGCTTACCAATACCTGTCTCCCCCAACAACTATCGCAAGGTAAGGCAAGTTGACAACCCTAGTGCCTTTTCTCATCAACTGCCGAACCCCCCCGTTCCCCTGAATCATGCACCCGTTCCTCTCCATCTCGATCCGAGAACAACCGCCGGCCCCTCCCACCTTCCCGCGGGTCACCCCCTGCACCTCCCACATAGTCTAGTCCCAAGTTCCCAGCAGACATCATCGATCGCGTCGCTGTCGCTGTCTTACTGTTGCCTAGCGAGAACCTCACCTTTCCACATTCCATCCCTGACTCGCGCATCGCAGTTCCCAGGGCTTCGGCATGATTTGCCGTGAACCAATTCCACCCGGGAATTCAAGATCATGGATCGATCCCGAGGTCGCTTTCCCGCCCCACCAACCAATCACTTCCACTAGAAGCGTAGACCGGAATGTGGCTTGCCGCAACTCTACATTTCAAGGTTTGAAGGCTTGTCAATAGTCTTCCTTTGAGAAGATAAGCGAGGTTCAGCCATGTCCCTGAGGATCTCGGTTAAAATTCAAAATCCGTGAGCGGGCTAGAATGGTGACCCTACACCTACGCCTGCAGTCATCATCTCTTCCATGCATCCACGTTCTCTTCCTGACGGGGAAACGCGAGACTTGGAGTATTGCATACCGCAATATCCCGCGCGTGATGATTATTAGCCTTTCCCTATTCCAGAGCCAGGGTGGGGGGAGGGGGATGTATAGTACCCAGGTAGACGGCATAGACGTCTCCAGCATGGGCAGTCCTTCAGGAGTAGATACTGCATACCGCATACTACCGTACTCTTACATACATAGATTAAAATTAGATTAACAGACAAAAGAGGCACACCCCTCAACGACGATCATAATCTAGAAGAATGCACTCTATCTCGCACATCGAACGGGATCCCGAATGTCTTAGTCTAGTT